GTCCTGACAATCTAGAGCTTGACTTGTGATTTTTATTTTGCAAATGGTATTCATCTAAAAGTGAGAAATTGGCTAAAGGTGATCCTTTCCAAAGAAAAGACTCAGCATTTCTGCTCAAACCTTTTCCTAGGAGCCTATCGAGCAAGTTAATTATAGTGAACATTAGAATTTTTTCCACTTTTTTTTTTCTAGAAAAAGATTAAGGAAATGCGGTATACAAGCTTCATGGTCTTTTTATCCTTTTAGATTCTGAAATACCCATCATCCATGCTTGCTTCTTTTGCACCACCGATCCTGTTTTTCCAACATACTGTAACTTCACTATCTTGGGCATGTCCATTTTATTAAGCTCTACTCATAATTCTATTTTTCTAGTGCAACAGTTATGCTTCAATATATGGATACACTTATCTTGAAACCCACAAGCAGCAATCCCTTATGAAGGTGGGATTTAATATTCTTGATGTAACTATCAAAAAACTTTTATGGTTGAATGCATGTTCATGAACAATTAGCATTTCGATGGTTTGCTGATTGTTCTCTTTATATGAATAAATATGTCCTTAATGTGTTTCAGAAAGCTTTTCCATTTTTGGTTTTTGTGCTATTGGCAGCAACTTGGTGGCTCTATGATCATTGATTCTTCCTATTTCTACTTTTCTACAAGGATCATGTCTTATTTAGTTTATTTGGATAAATTTTTAGGTGGATGTGGAGCCAAATCTGCCTATAGTGCGGTGGCTGCTTTCAAAAATATCTACCAAGCAATGGATTCTTATGAAGATGAGCAGAATTGATGCAATGAAAAGGTTAGTGAGAAAGCAACCTTAAAGTTAACTTCTGTATGATTGCATCAATGCCTGCAAGTAAGGATTATTCGCATGAGCACATTCTTATAAAAATAGTGATGAAGATTTCTTTACATTGGTTTCTTAATTTGATTGTGTGGTAGGGAAATGGAGGGCAAGGCAGCATGGGGGCATAGAAGGCTCTAGTAGAATTGAAGCATCAGACAATGCTTTAGTTAATGCTTTAGTTTAGCAATTTAATTTTCTCACTTAGAAAATGATATTTTCTGTTTGAGCTCACTGATTGATTTTACTGTTTTTGTTTTGTGGTGTTGTTTTTCCAAAAATCCTCTAGTAGCCTCGCACGTCTGAAATCTGGATGTGGGTGTACCACTTACTTTGTTAAAAGTAAGAAAGGAGGACTTTCCCAATGACCCTCTCATTCCTCACGGGCGACCTCCTTGCAGATGACAGGAAGAACGTTGGATTAAAATAGAAATTTGCGCTTACAAACGATTTGCCAGAGGAAGGGATACCTTCCTACAGAATAGGTTACGAAATCTGTAATTCCAAAGACTTAAACACTATTGTGACTTAAAATTAACAAATTCTAATTGAACTAAATAACTTGTAATTTAAGATAAATTCACGAGAATAAAATGTGCCCAAATTAAATTAAACATGTTCATTGTTAAATTAAAATTCTATTTATTAGTAGATTTAGAAATTAAAATGTTACAGAATTAAAGATTTTACCCTAATTAACATTAAAATTAATGTGAACAGTGATTAAACTAACATGCTTGAAGCTGAAAAGAAGTGAACATCATATAAGTAATTATTGAATAAAATGCTACTTATCATAAATATTAAATTAATTGCAAATAAAAAGAGAACAATATCTTGCATAAACTTGAAAGATTAAAGTTCATTGCATGAAAGGAAATTATTGAACTGAAAACATGAATTAATTTGCCTACTGGAATGATGAAAAACAACCTAAATTTATTGGAATCTGTGCTGAAATTTGAAATTTGGAAGCATTTACAGAGAAAATAAAGTTTGAAAATTTGTAAATATTTGAGTAGAGCACGTCGTGTGTTTTTTCTTCCAAAATTTCCTTTTTGTTCTCTTTGTGCCGGCAGTAACCTTCGCTTTCTGTAGTTACACAATCATGGGTGGTTTCTTAAGATAATGGGACAACTCACCAATTGACTTGATTTGATCTCCTTGCAGATTTTCGCCATCTGTACCCTTGCCAGATAAAACCCTTCTTCAAATGCAATATTCTCTTATATTTTAGCTCAAACAGTTCTTTTTTACCTCAAAGAGATAATTACACAGTAAAATCTCATCTTTATCTTCTTTTTTTTGCCAAAATGACAGCTGATCTGTTATGGTGCCCAAAATCACGAATTTGACATAGCTTAATCTCCTGCATCCACTAAAAAAAAATATTTTACACGTGGTTTTATTTTAAAATTTTACAATTTATGGTGTAAATAGGTGTATTGTACATAAAGTTTGAACAATGTAGTTGGTTTTTAATAGTAATAATATCTCTCTTTTTTTGCCAAAAAAATCATTTATCTTAACATGCCTACCAAAAATTGTTTCATTTATGTTGTCTTATTTATGTAATTTAAATATGGTATGTTTCACTTTTTAATATTAAAATATAAACTTTTATTTAGTATTTATATTTTAAAATATGAAGAATCAATTTTTAATCATCAATTTTAAAGTTATTAAAAAATTAAAGTTTTATAGAAATATAAAATAAAAAATAGAGTGAAAATAGTGTTTTAGTAAGTGAAAATAGTGTTTTAGTAAGTAAAAAATATATATTTTGATCATTTTAATATTATATTAAATTAAAAGATTTTTTATAAAAAATTTATCAAATAACTTTTTATTTTGAAAATACTTTT